CCCCCCCGTTTCTCTCCGTAAGAATAATAAATCCTATCGGGCTTCTGTCTCCGGGTGCTGCGCACGCACCACCACTCAGTCACGACGTTGTCAGTGCGCCTCCTGTCATATCATCTCGCGTCGTCGACTTGACGGCGCTTCGGGGATGGCGAGGAAGCGAAGATTTATTCAGACTATGTTCCCCCGGAAAAATGCTTCGCATGACGAGATAGACGAGGATTAGCGTAGCGTATAAAATCATCATACCGTCAGGTTTTTTGAAAGAATTTTACTCGATAAAGATTTATATCGATCTTCGAATTAGCTTTAATCGTGCGGCGATTGTGACATATCGGGATGAATATAAAATCGCGATATTTTTTAATAATATAACAATTTATATAATATATATTAATTAATGTTTATATCATATTAATTAATATTTATATCATATTTATAATTATTTATTAATATTAACGTAATATACGGTTTCATTATTCTTATAATTTTTAAATACTCTCTTGCACGTTTTATTTGATTATTTAAATATTTTATTTTATTATCGATAATAAATTGTAGCGTCACTATTACTTCGATTAATCCCGACTTTCGATAATTAATTAATATATATCATTACATTACTGTAAATTATTATATCAGTCATATTTATCGTTTCGTTTATTTTTTATCCGCAAAATGCTTGTTAAACGAATCATACTTTGTTTGAGTAATGCTAAAATTAATCGAAAATTAAACAAATATTTCTCTTTTAGAAAAGTGCTGTGTGTATATTTATATAAAAATATAAAATTTTGATAACTCGCTTTCTCTTTCTCTCTCTCTCTCTCTCTCTCTCTCTGTAATAAATAGCGACTTCTATTTTATTATCGAAAATAAATTGTAGCGTCACTATTACTTCGATTAATCCCGACTTTCGATCGACAAATTGATTGCGGTAAAACGCGGTAAAACGCGATTAAACTAATCCGATTTTGCGCAAGAAAAAAGCTTGTAACGAACTGGACCGAATGGAGGGGAGTGCAATTACGGGAAGATATTTACATCTTTATCCCGGAAGCGGAGAGATTGTATTACAAACAAACGCGGTGCAACAATAACGCAACGGCGAATCGGCGAATAGCCGATAGGGCAAATTATTAACGGCAACAGCGACGTTGCATATTTTCGACGAGCCACTGCCCCGGAAGTAAATTACACACAAAACCGATGATTTCGATTTACGCGGGCGAGCTCGCAAATACGACGAATGGAGCGAATATTGACGATGACAGCACAGAGGTGCGCTCGTCGTCATACGGCTTTGATGCATTATTCTGATTGAAAATCATCAGAGGGAGCCGGGTGAAATGGTCCGCGTTCGCGACACGCGACCTCGAACAGAGGATTCGAACTGTGCCTATCCTCCCTTACCGCGCGCGCACGCTCATTAGTCAAACCAACGCCAGATACCTGTCGATAAACACCGTACAAAACCGACGTTTCGTGCCATCGCGTGGAGCGAGGGGGTGGTGACCGATACCGTCAATACGTGTCGCTTATTGTATGTTAGATCGGCGGCTGGAAAAGCGCTCTCTCTTTCCCCGCGCGCCAGCTTTTTACAGATATCGAGAGTGGAGGCTTTTTAAAGCGTCTGTGTAATATATCGTAAGTGCAAAATTGGCATCCTTCTCAAGCTTACTTTTTTGCAAAAAAGTGTATCAGTTTGCTGTATTGATTTCCTTTGATTTCTCTCTCTCTCTCTCTCTCTCTTTCTATATATATATATAGAGAGAGAGAGAGAGAGATTATTTTCGATAATGAAATGTATTTAAATAATCGAATAAAACATGCAAGAGAATATTTAAAAATTATAAGAATAATGAAACCATATCTTATGTTAATATTAATAAATAATTATAAATATACTGATATGAATATTAATTAATATATACTCTATAAATTGTTATATTATTAAAAAATATCGCAATTTTATATTCATTTCGATATGTCACAATCGCCGCACGATTAAAGCTAATTCGAAGATCGATATAAATCTTTATCGAGTAAAATTCTTTCAAAAAACCTGACGGTATGATGATTTTATACGCTACGCTAATCCTCGTCTATCTCGTCATGCGAAGCATTTTTCCGGGGGAACATAGTCTGAATAAATCTTCGCTTCCTCGCCATCCCCGAAGCGCCGTCAAGTCGACGACGCGAGATGATATGACAGGAGGCGCACTGACAACGTCGTGACTGAGTGGTGGTGCGTGCGCAGCACCCGGAGACAGAAGCCCGATAG